GAGACTAAATTTAAAATTTAGTGCTAAAATGTTGATTCACCAAATTTCTTAGAGATAACTTTTAAAGAAAAAATATTTACTTTATAAACTTTCGTTATTATATAATTACAAGAAATACGCAGTTGCATGACTACATTTATGGAAAATGTTAAATGGTGCACCTATGCATTTGGTGTACTTTCTTTGAATAAATTAAATAAGTATAATATTAGAGTTAGGGTTAGAATACCAGGTTTAAATCAAACAAACATGTTTTAAAACATTCCGTTTTAAACCATTTTCCATCCCTATTTCCAACCAATTAAATATTTACTGCCGATCAATTGAGTGGGGTGGGGTGCTTGAGAACACCCTTAGTCGACTAAAAACTAAAGTTCAATTTATTTTCTTATATAATGCAAATAAGATAAATGAATTTCCGAAACTATCCACTGACCATGCTCATATTTTATGTTGAATTATTGCCTAACATCAGAAAATTTCGACTATTTTATTTAAAATATTTATTTATATACATAGTCGACTAAGCCGACTTTTTAAAATCGACTAAATTAGTCGACTAATGCTATATTGACTTGAAACACTAATCAACATGTCATAACATCTAATAATCGTTTTGCACCAACAAAATTTTACTAAATAAATTTAATTCATTTCTTTACTAAGTTGTTTAAATGCCTATAAATAAATTTACTAACATTTCAAAATTTTTAAGTAAAAAAGTGGTACTCCTATTCAATTTAAATTTGAAAATTAAAATCTACTCAAAGTTTCAAATAGTAATTAATTGGATTTTTATCAATATCGCTGCTATTGCCGCGGTAAAAATATAAATAAATAGGAGTTTGAAATACAACTTGTTCCCGAAAGGTGTTTATGGCAACTGAATCAATCGGATATACATAATTTACTCCGTAAAAATGCAATTTCTATGCCAACGGATAAGAAATCCAGTCAAAAATGAAGAGTTGTTGCTATACGTAACATTGCTAAGGGGACCATAGTTGCAGTAATTATAGATAAAAGATAACAGAGTTTTCATACAAAAATAAGCTGCATAAGAAGTGATAATTTCTGACCTTTAAAAATAGACCGATAAAATGAATTTACATTCTAGTTTTTTTTTAGTAAACTATTCCTATAAATAGGTCGCTAAAACTGTAATTATTTTTTCAAGAAAAGGTTTATAAAGAATTAGAAGCTTTTAATCACTAATTTTACATTGTGAAAAAAACTGACAATATAATTCATATTTCCGATTACAGTATTTTCTAAGGCGATTTATAGATGGTTCGAATTTTAGAAAATCGGAATATAAAATATATTTGTGAGCAATGACAAATTATTTTTTTGTGCATAAAGGTCACTTGAATAAATGTTCATTTTGGATCTGATTCATAAATATGTAGCTCATATGAGTACTACTTCTGCATCGTTGTAAGCAATATATACATTTAGGGAACAAGTTATCTTTAAGCAAATCCATATTTCTTCTTGTGTTTATTAACTTTCTTCAACCTGCACATTGTTACTAGTACTCAAAAACCACAATAAATTTAATTTAAATAAAGCATTCTCGCTTTATATAGATTAATTACTTTGTTTAATAATATCAATATGCGCAAATATGTACGTACCTACGTAGGTACATTTATGTATTTATGTTACCTAATTTGTTGTGAAAATCCCGAATAATAATAGATAAAAGTGTAATGTAACGCATGCATGCGGCAAATTTTGGTCTATTTCAAGCAATTTCATTTAATTTTCATTTTAAGAAATTTAAAAGGTTGGTTTGTCTATTTAAATGAGATATTTTCCCAATGTCAGTCAACGTTAGAGATATCTCTATTTCAAGAACATAACAATAAGTATGTCGGATTTTGCGGAACTAATCGAAAAGGAAAGGATAAACTGTTATGATTGCAGCGAATTTAGTGAACCTGAAAAAATCGCTGATGGTGTATGCAAGCTAGAGTGGAGAAACTTTAGGATGACAGTTGCTCGGAAAAGCATAAAAATTAATTTAAATAAAAAGGAGGTATGCTTAAGAACCTACAATGATAGTTATATGAATAAAGAATAATGCCAGATATTTTATATGTATTCGGTTATATTAATTATTCATGACGACAAATTAAGTTAACACCTCAATCCGGATATAAAAAACATATCCGGATTAATCCGGTTTTATCATAGTATAAATCCGGATATAAATTTAAATCCGGATATATTTATATCCGGATA